GCTTCTGGCTTAAATTCTAAAAGAATAAATTGCTCATATTGAAAGAACTCTTCAGAAGCGACACAAAATTGCTGGAGAAACTCAGCAGGTCTGGCAGTTCCTGTGGAGAAAAAGCAGAGTTAATATTTCAGGCCCAGTGACCCTTCTTCAGAACTGAAGCAAACCAATGTCTGAAAGTGGCAATATAAAATGAGGTGAAGGAGATGCACTAACCTAGAAAAGCTAAACAAATACAGTTTTACAAAAGAGCACTTCACTATAGCTTTTCATTGTAGAGTTTAAACAGTATGGGGAAGGACCTGGAATTTTGTGCCTAGTTCTGGGGCCAGAAAAATGGAATTGTAGTGAATACTCATGGGTTATGAGTACTTGCCTCACTCACCCCAGAGGTATGCTGGGTGTTAAACTGTCAACTGTTGACTTTCACTTGTACAGTGCTGTATTATATATTGAACCTTCAAAATTAGAATCAACTCCTTTTAAAGAACCCCATTAGAAATCTGTTATTAACTAGGCAAACTATGCATCCTATGTGTTTGAGTCTACAGTGGCTTTAGCAAAGCTCTATGAAGGGACTACCCAGGAAAAGGTAAATTAAGTTTTATATATTTATGATTCTGTGGCTCCAAGTGGAATAGGATAATCTATGGATGTCCTGCAAAGCAACCATTCCAAGCGCAGGCTTATCGCCACAGTTGGCCATGCTTTTCAGTATTAGAGATCAATTTGATATAGAGATAGTAGGACCTGCAGATGCTGGAGAATCCGAGACAACAAGGTGCAGGGCTGGATGAACACAGCAGGCCAAGCAGCATCATAGGAGCAGCTCCTATGACGCTGCTTGGCCTGCTGTGTTCATCCAGCCCTGCACCTTGTTGTCTTGGAATGATATAGAAGTGGGACTAGGTAGTTATATCACACTGCATGAGAATAGAAAAGATGCATGTGCATTACTAGAGTATGTTAGGATTCAAATTTATCTTGTGTGAGAGTTAGTAATGTGCTAACACTTTGAGCCAGTTACATGGACCCGTTTTATTAGGATGTCATAAATGCTATGAGTTCTGAGCCCAATGGAACAAGAAACAGTTCATTGGTCGGCAAATCATGGGTTTTGGAGGTGTTTAAAATAGGTTGCAGAAATCAATGGAAGAAACTACAATTTGTTTTAACACTGTTTAACCAATATGGCAAGACCATCTATCACACGGCAAACAAACTTCTGAAAGTGGCAATAGTAAGTGAGGTAAAGGAAAAGGTCTAACCCAGAAGCACCAAACAAATGCAATTCTGCAGGAAATCTACAAAAGAGCTTCATGAGCTTGGAGAGAGAAAATGATTAAACTTCAGTCTTGGGGAAAAGGGGAATGGATGCAACTACAAATACAAAGGCAAGAGGACATTTGATGATGCCATGGCATAGCTGAAAATAGTAAGGTGCCTTAGGAGGAACCAGAGTCATCCAAAGGAAAACAAAACAAAGCCATTATCTGTCTGAGAGCCTGACCATAACAGCACTAAATGAGTGCAGCTACTTAGTCAGTCCACACAATCTACTGCCTCAGTAAAGAAAAGAATAAGGTCAGTATATAAATCAATAACTCAGCTGTCAAACACCTTTTTGAATGATTGCAAGCCATTTTCAATGTTAGTGCAACTTGTTTCTCGTGATAAGTGTGAATGTTCCATTTGATCTGGAAATATTTTTATGTTTGATAGCCGTTATATCGTTAAACCTAAAAGAGATTGTCTGATTGGCTATGCTACACATTTGAAGCCATTTCATTCTCAATTTTTTATCAACTGAACTGGTTTTATTTAAAAGTGTTAGAATTAGGACATGATAAGATTGGGAACAATGACCAGACTTTTTTTTGCATTCGTACACTAATGTTCGACACTTTTCTCTCCTGTATTGATTTTTTGCACCGAAAATCTCGTCAGTAACCACCGCTGGATTGAGATTTATTGAACCTAAAGATAGTTACACTCTTCATTTCGGGCTTTATTTTCCAGTCATACATTACTACATATTTTTCATTCCATACATCTCATAGCAATCATAGTTTGCTACAGTACCTCATTTTACCATAGCAACAACAAATTCTTACACAAATCTCTTTGTTTCCCCCTGAGATCATCCCATGCTTGCTGGGAAATGACATCAAAATTTTGAGTTAGTTTTGAAGTCAATTATTTAAAGATCAAAAAAACTAATATATTCTTAACACAATTCCTCGCCCTGCAGTAACTATTATTCTGATAACCTGACAGCAAATTGTTGTTATAGCAACACAGAATTATTAGGCCTGTGCTTGTTCTGTGATTGTTTAGATACTCTATTGGGCCTGGTCAAAGTAGGTGACTGGTTCTGATTTTTGATCTACAACCAGATATCAATTCCCAGCACGCCTATCTCTCAGTTTAAAAATGTGCCACCTGGATAATATTAAAGTCACTTTTAACTAAAACATGAATAATCGGTTGACATCTCAGAGAATCGTGTGAGGTAATTTTCAACTTAACTAGCTGGGCAGTAATTTGGTGTGGAAGGTCCTTTCATGTAACCCACTCAATTTTTATTCCATTAAAGGGGAGCATCCAAGTGGCAGTTGGAAATGACCCCCATGCTTTTTCTTACCATTTTCGTCCTTTGAGGTGATGCTGACCCTGCTCATTATCTGGGGCGTTAGGTAGGATTTTGAGAGGAAAAAGATTACTTTTTTTTGTTCACACATAATTGTTGAAAGGTGGACAGCAGAATATCTGACCTGCTGTTTCAGTTAATATAAAATTAAGTGAATTACTAGGGTGAATTTAAGTGAATTACTCGTGTGACTTTAATAAACAGTAGACAGGAAAACAGCATAGGTCACATATTATGCTGCTAATGATGCGTCTTTAAGTTGTCGTATTGTGAAACTCTCACAGCTCCCAACATTTAGTCCCATCCCTGTTGCTATTTTTTGTCAGACAATGTAGAGTGAAATGCTGCAAAGACAGATTTTCCAATCTGCCCTTTATGATATTCAGCTTCCTACATTACTAAACAATGAGCAGCGCCATTCCTGTTTGTGTTTCCAGGCTGGCAGAGATAACGAGGTCTCCATGATATTGTAAGAGCCATTAAGTGAAAGTGGAGTGGGTAACAAAGAATAAAGGCAATAACTGAGAGAAAGAAGTTTGGAGTTATGCAAAGTTACTTTCAGAAAGGGAGAAAAACTGAGAGTATCTCTAAGCTGTAAGAATAGCTAAGAGTGTTAAATGCAGGAGAGGAACTTCATATAAGAGCAATAATTTGAGAGACAGAGCTTGCAAGAGGACTGGGTTAGAGAGCTGCAGATGACAGAAATCCCTCTCAGTGAAAGAAAATTATTGACATGGAGAGGATATCAATATGAATTTCCAAACAAACATGAAGATTTCACTTATATAAAATAACTGAGGAAGAAGTTATCCTGAATATGTGGGCTGTAGGAGAGCAAGGAAACATTATTCTATTGGTTTCAGAACTGTTTGTATCAGAATTGTATCATTGGCAACAAGTCTGAGGAGTTAATGATAATTTTCACTTTTTAATAAGTAAATATTACTCTGAAATGGGTAATATGAAATGACAATTGCTGCTTTGTAATAACATAATTGTTGTTCAGCTTCTCTGCATCTGTACCCTGTGAGAGACAAGGCAAAATGCAAAACAATGTAGTCTAAATAATTTCTAAAGTAACGTTGCATTTGTATCCTTTTTAGGCCTGATATTCCTAACAAAATAACACATTTTTATATTTTGCCATTGTAACTAATACTTTTCATTTATTTTAAATGGATGTATAATTCTATTAAAATGGTAGAAGGAATTTTTTATGAATACAACAAACAATAATATGACCAGGGTGTGATTTCATTGGTTATATTAATTTCTATTTTTGTATATTTTTGCAATCCTTTAAACGTCTTGGAAAAATGAATTTATATTTTTTGTTTGCTGATTAATTATACCTTTCCTCCTATCACCTTGCTCCCGTTAAGTTGCTTCAGCTTAGTTTTATCTTTTCTAATGAAAACACAGTTTAAAAAATTGGAGTTAGTTTAGATCTGGTGGATTTAAGACTAAACTCTTTCACTGACGATCCCTTCAAGATTCTAGGATCCTGACATAACAGTCAATAACAGCAGACTAGAGCTCATGAATTATACTTGCTCTCAGGATTTCTTTGAAAGTTGCAGTGATTAGAAATGAAAGCTGCACAGCATCCTGCCCGCTTCCCTTCTCCCCCCCACACCCACTTCAACCTCTACACCTACTTCCTTACTTCTCTTCCCTCATCCCCACTTGCCCCATCATCATCCCCAAACAACAATTAGAATTTGAAGAAATTAGATGTCACCCATGTAAAAATGAATTTTCAGTGTCACATGGAATGCTTGATTGCTGCCAAACAAAGTCAATTACATTTGAATGGAGAAGACTATAAAAGTTTTCTGACTAGTTTAGCAAGTATCCAACATCGACCAAAGCTTGTACTTGAATGAGAAGCTTTTCAGTGAGATACTGTTACAAGTGAACATTCCAGAGCAACGGCCAACTTTCACAGTAACATCCTGATTTCTGCATTAAAGTACTCAAATGTAGAAATCTGAGCTTGCCATCTGATTTATTCTTGAACAGCAATTATGCTGTTACACCCCAAATTATTTGTATTGCAAAATTCAGGCAATTTTTTTTAATGATACTGGTGTGATGTTCTTAATTATTACTTAATTTGAATGTTCCTGGAATTTCTAAAAATTATCTATAGCTGGTCATTATTTATCTATGATTAGCTATATATTAACTCGAGCTAAATTTCCAAAACAGGATTCCTGGCAAACTTTCAAAGTTTTCATGGCTAATTTGGTGAAACCCTAAAGACATTCCATGCAAGTAGCTTTAACCAAATAAGTTCAATCTAGTATTGGGATTACCAACTGATCTTGTTACTTTGGGAATTTCTCTTTAGGGAAAGCCCCTCATTTCCTTCGGCTACAGAACGTGGAAGTGAACGCAGGACAAAATGCCACATTTCAGTGTATCGCTGGTGGAAAGTGGTCCCAGCACGACAAGTTATGGTTGCAGGTTTGTATTTGTTTTTTTCCAGCTATTTTGGAAAAAGATTGGTTATCTCTTTGAAATGTTTAAATTCTGGTGCATTTTAAAAGGCTGCCTGTAGGACCTGGAAAGGAGCACAAAGCTGTCTCTCTTTTGCTTTGTTCTCTTGTGTCACGACCTATCTGAACATCAATGGGATATAGTTCAGGAAGTATTGCCATTAGATCTTCCTCCATGTTGAAAACGACATTTTTTTTCCCAAGATAACAAGGTGTAGAGCTTCACTTTCTGAAGAAGGGTCTAGGCCCGAAACGTCAGCCTTCCTGCTCCTCTGATGCTGCTTGGCCTGCTGCGTTCATCCAGCTCTACACCTTGTTATCTCAGATTCTCCAGCATCTGTAGTTCCTACTATCTCTGAAACTTTTTTTCTTTCCAGTTGCTTAACAAGGAGGCACACTTTTTCTTCTGCCTCTAATGAACCAATTTGACAAGTGTACTTGCCATAGAGAATTGATGCTGAAATAAGGTCTATTTATTCTTCAAAGGATTTTTGAAGATTTTCATAGATCTTTGAGTGGCCAACCTAGAAATCATTATCGCCTCTCTGTTCATATTGAACATCTTAAAATGAACCAGTCCCTCCTTCAGCGAGATGAAAGCTGATTTCTGTACATTTTTCGCTTACTCCTCATTGTTGAATGGATTCAATCAGAACTTACACAATCCCAAGAATGAGAGCATTAAATTCAATTCAGCAGTTAGTTTCACATCATATCCACTGTCAAATATTTTGTTAATATGGTTTCATTTAGGTGGAAAATTCACCCAACTGAACCAGTAAAGAAAAAGCAACTACAAAAATGAATTAATATAACAACTGGATGTGTCTAAAGCCATTCAATATTTCTTGAAGTGGAGTAATACAAAAAACAAAGAACAGTACGGCACAGGAACAGGCCGTTGGTCCCACCAAACCTGCATCAACACATGATGTGTTTCTATACTAAAAGCCTTTTGCCTCTACATAGTTCATATCCCTGTATTCCCTACCTCTTCATGTAGCTATCAAGATGCCTCTTAAATGCTGCTATCTGCTTTTACCAACTCCTCTGGCTGCGCATTCCAGGTACTTACCACCCTTTGTGTAACTCCTTTAAACTTAGCCTCCTTTACCTTAAACTGTGTTCCCTAGTAATTGAATCTTTCTACTCTGGGGGAAAGAAACTCCGACTATCCATTCTATCTGTGCTTCTCATAATTTTGTAAACTTCTGTTAGGCCACCCCTCAGCTTCTGACATTCAAGTGAAAACAAGCCAATTTTGTCCATTCTCTCCTCATAGATAATACCCTCCAAATGAGGCAACATCCTGGTAAACCTTTTCTGTACTTCTCTACAGCCTCCTTCTGGTAGTGTGGTGACCAGAAATGAATGCAATATTCCGAATGTGGCCTAACTAAAGTTCTATACAGTTGCAACATGATTTGCTAATTTTTATACTGATACCGATAAAGGCAAGCATGCCATATGTTTCTTGACCACCTTATTCACTTCTGTTGACACATTCAAGGAACTATGGACCTGTTCGCCTAGATCCCTCTGCATGTTAATACTACCAAGGGTTCTGCCATTTACTGTATACTTCCCTTGTGCATTAGACCTTCCAAAATACATCAGCTCGCATTTGTCTGGATTAAATTCCACCTGCCATTTCTCTGCCCAACTCTCCAGTCTGTATGTATCCTGCTGAGTTCTCTGGTAATCCTCCTTACTATCCGCAGTTCCCCCTATCTTTGTGTCATCCACAAACTTACGAATTACATTTATTAAAAATATTATAAGCTACAAGGGTCCCTGCACTGATCCTTGCAGAACACCATTTGTCATAATCTCCAGTCAGAGAAACACCCCACCACTTATTTATGATTTATGATTTAATCATTTATGATTAAGCCACTTCTGTAACAATTTTATCAGGTTACAGTGGACCCCATGTGACTTCACCTTTTGTATCAATGATCTTGTCAAAGGCCTTGCTAAAGTCCATGTTGACAACATCTACTGCCCTGCTGTCATCATTCATCGTTGTCACTTCCTCAAAAAACTGAACAAGTTTGTGAGACACGACCTCCTGGTACAAAACCATGCTCCCTATTGCTAATAAGTCCATATTTTTCCTAGGAACTTGTCTACCTTAACTGTTTTCAAAACACCCAACACCACCTACTTTTTATATCGACATGCCCGAGAATATCAACTTACCCCTCTTTAGACTCCCATCGACCATGTCGTTTTCCTGAATGTCAATGCAAAGTATTCGCCAAGGACCTCACCCACTTCCTCTAACTCAATGCATAAATTCACTTTTTTGTCCTTGAATGGATATAGCCTTTCCCTAGCTGCGCTCTGGCTCCTTACGTATGTATAAAATGTCTTGGGATTTTTCTGAAACTGTTTCATTTCATGGCCCATTTTAGCACTCCTGACTCCTTGTTTAAGTTCTTTACAGCTGTGTTTATATTCTTCAAGGACTCTATCTGTCTTCAGTTTCCTAAACCTTACGTATGCCTCCTTTTGCTTTTTGACTAAGCTCACAATTTCTTTTGTAATTCAAGTTTTTTTTTGGTGTTTTTTTGTCCTACAGCAATGAAGACAGGCTCTTTGGTCCAAACTGGTGCATCCATGCTAACCCCATTTCCCGGCACTTGGCCCATATCCTTCTAAACCTTTCCTATCCATGTATTTGTCCAAATGGCTTTTCACTGTTGTTAATGTACCCGCCTCAACTACTTCTGCTGGGCAGAGATAGTAGGAACTGCAGATGCTGGAGAATCTGAGATAACAAGGTGTAGAGCTGGATGAACACAGCAGGCCAAGCAGCATCAGAGGAGCAGGAAGGCTGACATATGGCGCACTGACCTCTACATCGCCGAAGCCAGACGCCAGCTCTCCGACACCTCCTCCTACCGTCCCCTTGATCATGACTCCACCTCCGAGCACCAAACCATCATCTCCCAAACCATGCACAACATCATCACCTCAGGTGACCTCCCACCCACGGCCTCCAACCTCATCGTTCCCCAACCCCGCACCGCCGGCTTCTATCTCCTTCCCAAAATCCACAAACCTGACTGCCCTGGTCGACCCATTGCCTCTGCCTGCTCCTGCCCCACCGAACTTATCTCCACCTATCTCAACTCTGTTTTCTCCCTCTTGGTCCAGGAACTCCCTATCTACGCCCATGACACCACCCACGCCCTCCACCTCCTCCAGAACTTCCAATTCCCCGGTCCCCAACACCTCGTCTTTACCATGGACGTCCAGTCCCTATACATCTCCATTCCCCATACAGATGGCCTAAAGGCCCTCCGCTTCTTCCTGTCCCGCAGGCCCGACCAGTCCCCCTCCACTGACACCCTCATCCACTTAGCTGAACTCGTCCTAACGCTCAACAGCTTCTCTTTCAATTCCTCCCACTTCCTACAGACAAAGGGGGTGGCCATGGGTACCCGCATGGGCCCAAGCTATGCCTGCCTCTTTGTAGGTTACGTGGAACAATCCCTCTTCCATACCTGCACTGGCCCTAAACCCCACCTCTTCCTCTGTTACATTGATGACTGTATTGGCGCCGCCTCGTGCTCCCACGAGGAGCTCGAACAGTTCATCCACTTCACCAACACCTTCCACCCCAACCTTAAGTTCACCTGGACCATCTCTAACACCTCTCTCACCTTCCTGGACCTCTCTGTTTCCATCTCGGGCAACCACCTAGAAACCGATATCCATTTCAAGCCCACCGACTCCCACAGCTACCTAGAATACACCTCCTCCCACCCAACTTCCTGCAAAAATGCCATCCCCTATTCCCAATTCCTTCGCCTCCGCCACATCTGCTCCCAGGATGAGGCATTCCACTCCCGTACATCTCAGGTGTCCTCGTTTTTCAAGGACCGCAACTTGCCCCCCTCAGTGGTCGAGAACGCCCTCCACTGTGTCTCCCGCATTTCCCGCAACTCATCCCTCACACCCCGTCCCCACAATAACAACCAAAAAAGAATCCCCCTCGTCCTCACGTACCACCCCACCAACCTCCGGATCCAACGCGTCATCCTCCGACACTTCCGCCATCTGCAATCCGACCCCACCACCAAAGACATTTTTCCCTCCCCACCCTTATCTGCTTTCTGGAGGGACCACTCTCTCCGTGACTCCCTTGTCCACTCCACACTCCCCTCCAGCCCCACCACACCCGGCACTTTTCTCTGCAACCGCAGGAAGTGGTACATCTGCTCCCACACCTCCCCCTCACCCCCATCCTAGGTCCCAAGAAGACTTTCCACATCAAGCAGATGTTCACCTGCACATCTGCCAATGTGGTATACTGCATCCGCTGTACCCGTTGTGGCCTCCTCTACATTGGGGAAACCAAGCGGAGGCTCGGGGACCGCTTTACAGAACACCTACATTCGGTTCACAATAAACAACTGCACCTCCCAGAGCAAACCATTTCAACTCCCCCTCCCATTCCTCAGACGACATGTCCATCCTGGGCCTCCTGCAGTGCCACAACGATGCCACCCGAAGGTTTCAGGCACAGCAACTCATATTCCGCTTGGGAACCCTGCAGCCCAATGGTATCAATGTGGATTTCACAAGCTTCAAAATCTCCCCTCCCCTACTGCATCCCAAAACCAGCCCAGCTCGTCCCCGTCTCCCTAACCTGTTCTTCCTCCCACCTACCCCTCCTCCTACCTCAAGCCGCACCCCTATTTCCTACCTACTAACCTCATTCCGCCCCCTTGACCTGTCCATCCTCCCTGGACTGACCTATCCCCTCCCTACCTCCCCACCTACACTCACCTTTACTGGCTACATCCCCGCCTCTTTGACCTGTCTGTTTCCTCTCCACCTATCTTCTCCTCTATCCATCTTCTATCCGTCTCCCCCTCTCTCCCTATTTATTTCAGAACCCCCTTCCCCTCCCCCATTTCTGATGAAGGGTCTAGGCCCGAAACGTCAGCCTTCCTG